CATATGCTACTTTTAACACATGTTTTTTCAGACAAAGAATGAACAAACTTGTAAAATGAAATGACGTCAGTTCATTCCTACTGACAAAAATTGAGTTGAAATTGCTGCTTTTTTGTACACAAGATGCTTAGTTCAAGTTCAACAACCAACAATACTGGTAAGCTGATGAAATTACCACTGGGGTCTATTTTGGCTGATATTCTTGTGTCTCATCTCGAACATGTCTCAACTCAGTTATCAACATATCGTAAGTTGACAATACTTTTATTATTCATAATAACACGAATCATACATCAGCATTGTTTGGACTTTCAAGCAGGCCCTTCCTAACATGAATTTTACGATTGGAAATGAAAGCACTCAATCTCTAGGCATCTACGTGTACTACGCTAAATGATGGTACAAACGAGAAAACCATGGATAGGTCAGTAACTCAACTTCAATAGTTTTTATCCGGTCAATTGCAAGCGAGGTTAAGTCAAAATATTTGCTAGTAGAGTAAGGAAAACAAGCTCGAAGGATAAAGTAAAACAATAATTATCTATCGTTGAAATGTGTGGAAGGGAATTTAGTGAAAACTTAAACACCTGACTGCTGAGAAATAGGTTTTTGCCTGGCATTTAAGAGACATGAAATATCAGAAAGAATAGATGGACAGATCAAAGATGAGCTGAAAAGAAACTACCCATTTGTTACAATGATGTAAGTCTACAACTCGACATGCTAACTCAGTTAGTCTAAAGTAGATAAGTACCCTTTTTCCGTAAACTATAAATGTATCTGCCAATTTACTTGTACTTGCGAAGGCAAGTATAAAGGAAGAAGTGATAGAAAAGTATCCACTTTATGAACGCATCCCAAGAAACTCGTGTTTGGAAGGGAGTGCAATAACCCGATGTCTGGTGTAAACTGGTTACCTAATAGATATCTCCGAAATATTCAGGACAATAAATACACAAAACTAGCTAAGTTTACTACATTTTACTGAAGCCTCTGAAACCAGACATTTCAAACCGGACTTCTATATACAAAAACAGACTGTGATTAATCGTTCTTCACCCAGGTAATTTGTTGTTACTTTGAGTTACATCATTTCTTCCGTTCTTTGTAATGGAGTTTAGGTTGCATTTATCTTATTTTGGTGTTATCTGATGACTTGTGGGCATACACATTTCCTCGGCTGATTACCAATCCTCTTTCCTCGGACCGTTGTTCGTTTTTATAGATATGGAATTATCGACCAAATCACATATAAATTAACCGGTGTGAGCAGCAGAGAAGTGTCAACCGCCCGCACGCTTTCAGCAGTACACAAACCCAATCAAACATAAACTATCTCCTTCAACTCCATCTCCCCTCTTGCCTTCACCATGATAATAATATTAAGCCTCTTATGCCTTACCCAACCTCTCACTCTGCAACCATTACTAACGACCAGTCATCGAAACCTCATTCCTAGACTCCTAAGATCCCGTCATCGATTTCATGTAAGAGTTTTCAACGTTCGAACTCTCTGCCAAATCGGACAGCAAGCACCACTCGGCAATACTTTGGAATCTCGTGTCATAGATGTATGCTATGTTTCAGCGCAGTTTTTAAATTGACCTCACGTGGTCATAGTAGTGAATCTTCAAAATTCACTTTAAGAGTATTCGGAGACGAAATGGCTAGCTCTCGTGGACTCGCTGGTGTAGACATAGCATTCAGCTGTAGGGCAGAAAGTGCGATCCTCGACTGGATACCAGTAAACAGCCGCCTATGTGCTGTTCGACTGAATGGATATGTAAAAACTAGGAAGGATCCTGGGCTAGGCGATGCCTATTTGTAATCTCCACCCCTACACACTCACTGACTGTAGTTCGGACGATGTAAAGGATAAATTCTATGAGAAGCTATCAACTTTGCTACAAAAAGCAAAGCCTTCAGGTGTAGTTATAATGACAGGTGACTAACTCTCACGTAGGGAAGTTGGGCCAATTGGAAGGGCATTTGGGATGTATCTACGGAGTGTCATGCTAACGAACCGATAATGGTGATAGTCTATTGCAATTTTGTTTTGACAGTCACTTGTTTCTGAGCAGCACTAACTACAGGCATAAGGAGAGACATTGTCTCACGCGGGGTCCATGGACTTCAAACCGACGATAGACAAAGATAAGTCACACTGCTATAAGCTATCGTTGGAGGATTGCCGCTTTTTCTGGATTAGGTGTTTGGACAACGATCACGCGCTCGTGTATGTCTGCGCCTTTCTGGTTGCAGAAAACAAGCGATCGTTAAGTCTGTCTACTTTCGATGGGAAGATGCAGACGCCGAACACACATTTCGGAAGGTAGCTAAGCATTTACCTGAACGTGACAGCAACGCTCATGCTGAGGAAACCTGGCGCGATATTCAGTGTGCTGTGAAAACAGTGGTAAGGACAGCTGGTAACCTACACCAGAAGGTTAACAAACATCATTGGATTTCCGCGACATTATCCGAACTGACTCGTGCAAGAAGACTGATATTATCGGGATGTGACCACTATGAAGAGCGAAAGCAGCTCAAACATAAATTGACCAAGAGTCTTTGAGTTGATCACGAGCAGCGGTGGATGACGAAATCTAGAGAGATGGAGAAGGCATCAGCGTTAAGTAACATTCGGCAAATGATTAGGCTTATTAAGAATATCAGCAAGAAAAAGGCGATGATTAGTGAGGCAACCACTGGAAAGGATGAAGCAGCTGATACCTCCCACAGCAGGCAGCTAGGACGTTAGGTAGAACACTCTGAAGCATACTTCAACCGGCCCTCAGCAACGCCACAGTTGTCTAACATCCAACCTGAATCTGAATGGGACGTGGATGTAGGTCCTCCAACTCTCCTTGAAGTTGAAAAAGTTTTGTCGAACCTGAAACGATCTCTAGCAGTTGGACCTGACAGTTTGCATACCGGAAGTTCTCAAGGATGGAAGTAGGGGACTGATAACTTAAGTGTCAGAAGTACTGCGTAGTGTATTGGAACCAGACTTATTGACGTCACCTTGGTGTATTCCACAGATCACCCTGGTCTATAAAAATGGAGATAAATCTTTTTATCACAACTATATAGGAATTAGTTTGACTTATATTGTGTCCAAGATCCTAGGGTCAATAGTTATCCGACGCCGAACTTGGGCTCGAGGACAGCAAACTTGAGAAAACCAGGCAGGTTTCAGACCTGGACGGGGGAGTTACCGATCGTACTTTTACTCTCCGACAGGTTCTGGAACACAGAAGTACCTACCGGGGGCTGACACTTGCCATATTTGTTGGACTGAAGGGGGAATATGAATCTGTCGACCGTGAGGTATTGCGGCAGTATCTGACTGTGAAAGAAGTACCGAGCAAGTGTGTAACGCTAACCAAAGCTCTACTAAAACTCAAGCAGCCAGGTAAGGTCTTATGGAGAGCAATCATGTGAATTGACGACAACTAGTGGTATCCGCTATGGATGTCTACTGTCACTGGTCCTGCTTAACTTTGTTGTAAACGTAACAAAAGATATAACCTCAGATAGGTCTGACCTCACACAGATTGATCTACTTCCTGGAGGTCATCTGGTCAACTTGGAGTATGCAGACAATATTATCCTACTAGGCGAAGATGCTGACAAAATGCAGGGTCTTCTAGATGCATGGAGCAGAAACCTGAATGTTTGGTGTGCGTTTCGCATCTGTAAAATGTAAGATGAAGCTCCAGGACTGGTCTGCAATCACTCCCAGTTTAATGATAAGGAGTGTAGTGGTGGAATGCGTCGATCACTTCACTTACTTGGAGAGTTGCATCAGCCTGATTGGGCTGGTTGCACATAAAATCTCTGCTTGGATGCAGAAGGCCAGTTTGGCATTTGCTAAGTTGAGTCACCTATGACACTGGCCAGATATTCAACTATCTATCAAAGGAAGAGTACGCTCTCCTTCGGTCCACTCTGTCCCATTGTACGGCCATGACATGGCAATTAAAAGTGGAGAAACTGAAGCGATAATAATAATCCACTTTATTCCAAATAATTTGTGATTGAAGGGTTTTGATCATAGGTGTCTTCGAAGCATTGCTCGTCTGGTGGAATCCCCACGTGAGCACTACTGACGTCACGTAAAGGGTACTGGGCAAGAAAGGCAAGTCGATTGATCAGGTTGTGAACCACAGTCAACTGAGATGGCTTCGACAAGTACCGCGTATGCCGAGCTACTATTTACCATGCTACAGGAAGTTGGATTAAGATTGAAAAAGGTTCACAGTGGTCAGACCAAGTTCTGGTACCAGTCGATGAAGTCCCTGACTATTGCTCTGAGCCATGTGAGATGTGAACTGCCTGGTTGGGAACCCTGAGATAAAAAGAATCAGTAGTTGAGGACTCTTGACGACATGGCTGAAAATCGATCACAATGGCGCAGATGTATTCACTGCTTGACATCTTCTAAAGCTTGAGTATTCACACCTACCTTTATCTTCAGATTGTTTATTCTCTCGCACTACTTTATCTACGTTGATATCACTCCTTTTCTATCCACCTGCTTTTGTATACTACTGTGAAGTGTGGCAACCTGAGGCGATGCACTTGTGTGTGAGGTTCGACGTTGATTTTGTTAATCAGTCAAAAATTATCGCTTATTCTAAGATTCGCGATTTCAGCTTGCACGCAGCTGATGAATATCCGTAAAATAAAATGACTGAATTTTACTTTACAAAATCTGTTCATTCTTGCTTTGTTCAAGTTTACCAAGGGAACAAAACGCCTAAAAAGATCTCTTTTTCCAATACCAGGAAGGCTGAATCACTGGTTACCAATAAGAAACAGTTTGATTTTATCATTTTCTGAGAAGCTCAACTGCATAGCCTTGTTATCGCAACTGAAATTTACTTAAAGCTTATCATACTATAAGATTAACTTTTTGATGGAATTGCAAAACTTTTACACTGTTCCAACATACGTAGTATGAATGAATCACCGTGGTAGACAGAGAATGGAGAACTGTGGTCTATTATGTATTGTGTCTTTATTAATTTTTTCAGAAAGTGTTCAAAACATCAGTTTCATGAACAAGATAACAAAGTAAATTCAACACCATTGAAAAACTGAATTCATCAGTTAATGCAGATAAATGAAGATGGAAATTTATTGAAATAGTCACATCATTTGAACTGGAAAAAAACTAGCTGAGAGTTTGTCCTTCGATAGTGATATGCTTTTGAGCCATGTAATGCGGTTACCGTGGTCCAAATATAGAAGTACCTATGCGCACATTAGTACTTCCAAGTCGTATCTACAAGTAAATTTTACAATATGAAAGACTTACAGCATGCTCAAAATCTGCAGACATTCCCATACTCAATTCAAAATCCAAAGGTGACTTTCCCAAAGACGATGCGAGTATTTGTCTACATTGTACAAGTCTCTAGTAAGTGTGTCGGTTAATACAAAAAAAGCTTACCAAAAAGTCTGGATTCGGGGCGACAGTGGTATCTACTCCTTCCTGTCCTATACACATCAGACCGACAACCTTCAAGTTCGGGCACTTCATTTCTATCCCCTTGTGTAGGTCTACTAGCTCAGATGGTTTAATGCCACCTTTCTCTTTCAAAAATACGCTTTATGATATTTTAAAACTACGTGGCTCTTCACTAGTGTTAACTTGAATCATTACATTTAAAGGGTCCTGGTGAACTGAACTCCATGCTGAATCAAGAACTTGAGCATGATCTATTGAGTCTAAGGTCTCCACTATGTACAAATTGTTAACCCCTTAAAATGTGAGTAGTAAGTTAACAATTACCAGCGAGCTTTTTAATTTTGTTGGTTTGAATCCGTCCAATAAAATGCCACTTGATTTCTGGGCAAAATTTTACCACCTGAATTATTCATACAAAGATGATAGATGTTCATATGTACCTCAGAAGAATGACTTTTTTCAAATAAATGAACAATCTAAAAACGATAACAAAATGCTTTGAAAGCTACTTTATTCTCGGCAAAATGCTTTTGACCGGCATTATATGCTTCTATGATAGATTGGATCGGTTTTTCTTTCGAAACTGCAACTAAGCGACAAACTTTCTGTCCCACTGATGGAGACTACGCACTTTGCGTGTACTTGTAGTGAACGAACTTACTGATTGACATGCTTCTTCTATTTTAAGCAGGATATCACTGAGATTTTTTGACACAGTTCCCATAGCTTTTGTTGCAATATCTCACCAAAAGGTATCTTTCTTCTTCGGTGGTGAGTAAGGAATTGTAAGTTTAAGGGATCGTCTGAAAAGTAGGAGGCGAAATTATCTAAAAAAAATAAGGGAAATAAGAAAAGATTCCAAAAATAGACACCACCAGATGAAATTTAGATACATCTTGTTTAACAAACCAGGTGGGAGAAACTCTCCGCTAATATGATATTATGACGGTTATACAGGACATATACAAAGAAGAAAACTGTCCACAAATACAACTCATTTCATACCACTAGAATGTAGTGTGTCCAATTATTTGGGAAGTGTGGGAAGGTTACATTGAAAAAGGTTGCGCCAGTAGTCATTCTGAAAAAAATTCTGCCTATACTTCGATACACAATAGGTTAATATTAACATAAGATATGACGTTAATGCGCAGCGATGCAAGTTATTGCAGCTCACACAAGCGTACTGCAGTAAGAGGTAACAAGATAGGAGAAAGTCTGAGGGAACTGTTAAGCAAAAGGAAGTAAAAGTAATCCAAGTAATAAGAAGCATTCCATTTAAAACGTAAACAAGGTGTGGATAGATCTCCTTCACTACAAGTGAAATTGAACCATATCACCTAGGTTCCAGCTATTAGGTTTAATTGTCACGCAGACCACAACCCGCGAAGCTACATTTCCCGCACATGGTTCACATCAGAAGTCTGAAACTATAAACGCATGCCACATTTTATTCTGTTGACCCTTAGCTTCCTTCCGGTTAAACCTATTCTTGTGGCAATATAGTGTCTCGGGGTAAGTGGTGACTAGGTATGTGCAACAAATTTCCCAATCATTTCAATCGACGGCAGTTTACAACTTCAATAATTGTTTGGATATTTCATCTACGTATCCAAGTCAAAACTACATGTTCCTCATATGGTAATTCCTTGAAATGCATCCAATACTACGAAAGTAAAGGTGGAGCCCTTTACATCTAACTTTAATGGTGATTTTGTAACTGCGCAGCATGACTGCGTGAATCGCTGTGGACTACACCCGATCACACATAAGCAGTCAGCTATCTCGGCAATGCCATACGATGCGTGAGTTGTCAAAAGCTAGATGAACTCCACTTATCCACATCGAGGTTTTATCGGTCGCCCAACCCCCAAAGGTGATGCAGTAACCTAAGTGAATAAGGCAGTGAACAAGCTTAGCCACTTCACATAATATTGTTGAACGAAGCAGTATGCAAGATAGCAGGTACCATATTAGTTCTGACTAGCTGCGCTAGCAGACACATTTGGTGAATTATCCTTGCACACCGCTTCCTTAACTCCAGAAGCAACGACTTCTAACTCATACCATGAACGAACAATAATTTCATTTAACGAGCTCACTGACACCTAACCAAGACATTAGAACCTGTGATAACTGGCTTACGGAAGAAAACATCTGATACAACGTTTGTAGCACCAAACGTTACCTGCTATTTACAGATATAATCAAATCACTGATGTTTCAATTAGGTGCCACCGAGCAAACTGCCTTAAAATTTGCGTTTTAACATTTACCAAATCAAAATAATTCCCCCTGACCATCTTTCATTCTTCTATGCATCCCAAAAACAAAGTGATACATGTAAACGAACTGTATTACTACATACTGGTCTGATGAACAGACAAAATCAACGTCGAACCTCACACACAAGTGCATCGCCTCAGGTTGCCACACTTCACAGTAGTATACAAAAGCAGGTGGATAGAAAAGGAGTGATATCAACGTAGATAAAGTAGTGCGAGAGAATAAACAATCTGAAGATAAAGGTAGGTGTGAATACTCAAGCTTTAGAAGATGTCAAGCAGTGAATACATCTGCGCCATTGTGATCGATTTTCAGCCATGTCGTCAAGAGTCCTCAACTACTGATTCTTTTTATCTCAGGGTTCCCAACCAGGCAGTTCACATCTCACATGGCTCAGAGCAATAGTCAGGGACTTCATCGACTGGTACCAGAACTTGGTCTGACCACTGTGAACCTTTTTCAATCTTAATCTAACTTCCCATAGCACGAGAAAGTGTCTTTCCTAATGTCTGGAGTAAGGGCTGCTCAGAAACAAGTGACTGTCAAAACAAAATTGCAATAGACTATCACCATTATCGGTTCGTTAGCATGACACTCCGTAGATACATCCCAAATGCCCTTCCAATTGGCCCAACTTCCCTACGTGAGAGTTAGTCACCTGTCATTATAACTACACCTGAAGGCTTTGCTTTTTGTAGCAAAGTTGATAGCTTCTCATAGAATTTATCCTTTACATCGTCCGAACTACAGTCAGTGAGTGTGTAGGGGTGGAGATTACAAATAGGCATCGCCTAGCCCAGGATCCTTCCTAGTTTTTACATATCCATTCAGTCGAACAGCACATAGGCGGCTGTTTACTGGTATCCAGTCGAGGATCGCACTTTCTGCCCTACAGCTGAATGCTATGTCTACACCAGCGAGTCCACGAGAGCTAGCCATTTCGTCTCCGAATACTCTTAAAGTGAATTTTGAAGATTCACTACTATGACCACGTGAGGTCAATTTAAAAACTGCGCTGAAACATAGCATACATCTATGACACGAGATTCCAAAGTATTGCCGAGTGGTGCTTGCTGTCCGATTTGGCAGAGAGTTCGAACGTTGAAAACTCTTACATGAAATCGATGGCGGGAGCTTATGAGACTAAGAATGAGAGGTTGGGTAAGGCGTAAGAGGTGAAGGCAAAGGAGACTGGGTTGAGGTGGATGTTATGTGTTGTTGGGTTTGTGTACCATTGAAAGCGTGTGGATGGTTGACATTTCCCGGCCACTCACATCATGGAGGGCTATTTTTTCCTATGGTACCTGAAAGAGAAAATGATATATGTGACAACAGAGCCCAGGAGACATCTCTTTCAGGCCGGTTACGTACGGCCTTTTTTGAGGCAACGATGGCGCATATGGTATGAGAGATGTAGTTGGATATACGTCCTGTGGTTTTGGATTAACACCAACCACTGATCCAAGCCACCATAATGCATTATCTCATTGTTTAAGAACATGTTAAGGGTAACTGCTCTTTGTCTGACCACTGTCCAACAGACCTTTCCGGTACAGTAGGATTTCGAAGGAACAAGCGTTCCTCAGCATATCCCTTTGGACCATACAAGCCAGACCAACACGTCAATGTAGCAGCTATCGGTTGGGCTATACAGACCTAGGAAATATCTGCAGATAATCACTATTAACTTCAGACAAAAAACCAAAGCCATTACTACACATAGCATTTAGCATTATTATCCCAAAGTGATGCAGTGTTACGTATCGAAACACGTAAAAAATAGAAATAGTCAGCAATCTTGTGCGCATTCGCTAAGTAAACAATGGGCGACATCCATTGTGAGGGCCAATGATACTACCTGGGTAGGTGGAGCGAGGTTCGAACGTGCAAACCACCGGTTGAAAATCAAGTGCCTGAACCCATGAGCCACAGCTTCAGCGTTACTCATATAGGTTTTCGAAAGTGGTATGTCTAAGTAATATGTTTATGCCAGAATATCCTAAGATCATGATCATTTTCTAATCCAAATACGCCATAAATAACAACTAAATAGCAGTAGACTTAACAGTCAGATGGAGAGCCACAGTAAAAGAAACGCTTTAAAAGCAAGAACTAATCCGACATTTTTAGCATCAATACTGTATAATTTCTGATTTAGCCTAACGAAGTTCATTTTGTATTTGCGTATACCATTTATTGCTGTGACAAGTGACATACAATACAGTGACTAGTCATAAACATACCAAAAAATCATGTATGAATGGCGTAACGCAAGCTTAAAGTAACCGGACATAGAATGACTACCAGTTTCGCTTAGTACTCAACAGTTCTTTTAGCCAGGAGCACTTGAGTGTGATGCCGGTGAAGTGGCCAGTTGTGGGCCGAAGCAAGATTTCTGTACTAGTGGGGTAATTTACCGTGGTCTATTTTACTGTGCAAGTGATTTCGTGTTAACTCATATACGTAACTGGAGAAGAAGCAACAAATGTCAGATAGTTGTGGATCTGTTTGATACACACATAAACTGAACAGAGCTTACAGTCTTAGCCTCAAGCATTTGATTTGAAGTTGACCTACTTTTAACTTTACTAGAGTCTGCTTTAGTTCAAAACGTAACTTGTGCAGTACGACACGATTCTGAACACAAGCCATCGTTATTAGATTTAGCTTTAACCCAGCAATGTAAAGATACCATGCATCTGCGATGCTTCCCTCCGTTAGCTAACAGAGATCATGTAGTGCTAACTTTCGGTTTTTGAACGTGTTTGGCTACGACACTGCCTTACCTAGACATAGTTTGCGGTGCGCAGACATTTCAAGTGTAAGGAATTGCAAAGTCGGTAAGGACTGGACTATCGACAAGGATTCATCAATCGAGAACGCATGGGATAGGTTTAGAACTCTGTTTGAAGAGGTGACAGCGCCATTTATTCCATAGTCGACCCCACGAAAATCCTCACATCACCCTCCGTGGTTTAATAAAGACACTTAAAAACTATTAAGGCGAAAACGTTTATGGAACTTGTTTTTAGAAACTGGACTGGAAACGTTTAAAACTGGATACTGTAAAGTCCGTAATCTCTGTTTAACTTTGATTGCACAGTCTTGAGTGTCCTAAGAGCAGTTTGTAAATGATTGCCAAAACTACCCTAAAAGACCATTAGCATTCATTTGAAGGACTAAAAATGTGGGATTCCCTCTCTGGTGACGGGTGAAAAGCCTGATAGTCTGACGGAACCTAGTCTTCTCAAAGCTGAATGTCTGTTGGATCACTTCAGTGAAGTTTTTTCTGTAGATCATGATGGTGAAGTGCTCAATAGTGGCGTCAGCACTGCCCCACCAATGGATACAGTTTACATCAAAGGAACCAGTCAGCTGTTAATTAAATTTAAACCTGGAGAACCCCCGGGTGCTGATGAGTTACACTCTAGACTGCTTTGCTAACAGACACTACTATTGAGCCAGTCACTGACTTCTTAATATGTCCTTACCCCAGGCTAGCCTCCTCAGAGACTTGAAAGATGCCATAATCAGCCAAGTTTTTCGGGCTGGTAGTCGCCAGTTGGTGGCTAACTATCGCCCTGAGTCTAACCAGCATAGTTATTAAGGTTTTAGAAAAAATAGTCCATGGTAAGGTACTTAAATATGTTGGATCAACTAGTCTTTTGGCATCACACCAACACAGTTTTCGTAATGGACAGTCCTGTTTAACAAACCTCAAGGTGAGAGGAATAGGTTGCAGCCCATGACTGCAAGAAGCCAATAGATGACGTGCTTATAGACTTCAGTAAGGCACTCGATAGTGTCACACGTGAAATTACTAGGAAACCTCTCTTCTTTCGGGTTGGGTGCTGCGTTGCAAGCCTGGACGAGGGACTTTCTGTACGATAGAAGGTAAAGAGTGAGAGTTAATCATATACTGTCCCTACAGAAACCTGTGACGAATGGAGTTCCTCAAGCAACAATCCTAGGCACACTAATTTCCTTGTTGTCAACGAATTACCACAAATGCCCAACTCTTCGGTGCTATTCGCCGATGATGTAAACGTTTGGAGAGCCATATGTAGTGGTGCTCATAGGTATGCACTTCAAGCGGATTTGGATGAACTGGTAGGTTGGTCTAAACGTTGGTGCCTGGAAATCAACATTAGCAAAAGTACAATAATGCACATTGGTCACAGCATTTGTTCCCGGCATTCCGTTGGTGGTGCACCACTACTCCCAGGCTTTGAGCTGAAAAACTTTGGTTTCATCATAAGCCATGAATTGGAAACTTTGGCACACTGTGAAGGAGTTGAAGCAAATGGCTCCCGTGTAGTATGGTCCATCCCCAGAGCTTTCAGAAGTTTCGACCACGGTACATTCAGAATGCTGTAGGACATCACTTAGAATGCTGGAGTCGAGTGCCCAGTCTGTGCAAAAAAAGTACGTTGATGTACTCCAGCGTGCTCAGAGGGTAGGCACTAAGCTTGCAATACGCCTTTCGAATCTGCTGTATGAGGAACGACTAGACCAGCTAAACTTATTCCCACTGTCTTACCGTAGGGAACAAGTTGGTCTGATACTGGTATTCCATATCCTTAATAATGACTTCGGTACTGATAAGTCCTATCTTTTCCCTACCGCTAGGAATGATTATTTCTGAGGGCATCTCAAAAAAATCCAAAAACCCCTATCGAACTAAGCCATCGTTAGTCTGTTTTCCTACCATAGTGTGGTCAACGACTAAAACCCCTTACCTGGAAATTGTCATCCTAGTTAGTATTTACTTCTGGCGCTCTTTGCAAGTTTTGGACAAAAACCAGTAAACCACGTCGCGCCGAAATGGAAAGACGCATAAAAGCCCCCGAAGGTCTCAAGTTTTAAAGTGCCCCGATGTAGGTTGGTGATAAAACCCGGTTTATAAAGTGCGGCAGAATTAAGTGCTGGCTGAGATACCTAGGTATGGATCACTGCCTAATGCACTAGCCAATTCATGCACGAGACATGGCTTCTCTGTAACACTTTATTCTTTATGTGGTGTGTTCTCCTTTAGCACAGTTGCTCAGCTCGCAGTTTTAGTGTATTTCAAACACAAGTAAGGTTGACGAGGAATTATTATTGGAGCTGGAGCTCCAATAATACAGCTGTATTGTTTAGTTGCAACTTTATTGATGTATATTAATATATCAGTGTGTGTGAGCTATGATTTAGCTCATGGTGATCCACTCTTTCCCAAAAACGGAAACCTACCAGCTAATGTCTCGTCATCCTGTACGATGAGTGGAAGCCCGGTACCAGTAGTCACTGTACGCAATTCTAACCTCCCAAAATGTAATATTCAACTTCGCGCGAGTGAGATAAAGCGTTAAACCTTCGTAGTTCTGATTGGTCAAACTTCAAACTTCGTGTTGTAGGATTGGTGAACTGCGGTTCCTTGGGTTCTACATCCGTCTTATTGGAATACGTTCTGAGTTTGGAATGGTCACAATTATTTTCCTGGTTCTGAAAAGCCTGAAAGGATAGAGACACGATTAATTAATTAATCTGGTCTCAAGTTAGTATTACTGCCTCTCATCTGGGGAAAGCTTCTCGAGGTGTGCGTCTAGCCTCCTTTTAAAGGTATCAGGGGATGGGGCTGTAACAACTGCTGAAGGGAGGGAATTCCACACTTTACAGACTCTAACTGCAAATGAGTTAGCACGGATCTTTGTACGTGCTCTCTCATGCTCTATTCTTAACGGGTGACCCCTCAAGTCACGTCTCCGACTAGAGCTTAAAAGGGATCTATTGGGATGGAGGGGATTATAGGCGATGTGGTACATCATGATCATATCCCCTCTGATCCTCCGGTGTTGGCACTGGGTGCAGTTGAAGAGCAACTAAGCGGTCTGGGTACAGTTTATGCCGTAACCTAATCACTTTCTTTGTAGTTCTTCTCTGTACCCGTGCTAGGATGGCAATGTCCTTTTTCAAGTATGGGGACATTACAAGTGAATTTTTTTCTAAATGAGGACGAATGTACAGAGCATACACTGTGGTGAAAAGAGAAGGAGTTAGACACTCTAAGGTTCGCGAGAGAAACCCCAGGATTCCACGAGTCTTATTGGCTGCAAGGCAACAGTGAACAGAGGCTACTAGTGTATCATTTAGTGTAACTACCAGATCTTGTTCCATGTTAGAGTGACAGATATTTATTTCACCTAGAGAGTAAGAACCGCGACTGCCTTTATGTTTGTCAACTATCATAATTTGACACTTCTTTGAGATGACAGGAAACAGGTTTTCTGTAGTCCAAGTAAGGATTTTCGTAAGGTCCTCCTGGAAGACTGAAATATCCGTTGGTTCCTGTATTTCCCCCCAGATCTTCAGATCATCGGCATATAATAGTGAATGTGAATTAAGGACCCCTAGTAGGTCATTGACAAAAGCAACAAACAGTAGTGGGCCCAGTGTGGAACCTTGAGGCACACCACTCAGCATCGTGAACCAATCAGATAGAGAGGAGCCAACTCTAACTGACTGCACCCTGGTGTACGGATAATCTCTAATCCAGATTAACAATTTTCCGTGTACGCCCGTGAGCTGGAGTTTCTTAAAAAGGATATCATGATTTACCCTGTCAACTGCCTTAGAAAAGTCAAATAAACTAATGTGTATAGGTTTTTCTTCTCGACAGAGAGTGTCCAGATATTCCAAGCTATCAACAAGTTGGTGTTACATGACCTTCCTGGTAGAAAGCTATGCTGACAGTCGTTTAGGATTGATTTCTGAAGTAAGTGATCACGAAGTGAGTCATTTATGACTCTCCCCATGGCCTTCGCATCTGAAAAGATCAGGGAGATTTGTCTGTAGTTAGAGGCGAGTAGTTTGTTTCCACCTTTACAAATTGAGACGACAGCCACCCGTTTCCAATCAGAGGGTAACCTGCCTTCCAGAAACTGGCATCTGAGGAGGTTTGCTAGCGGGACGTACAGAACTTCTGCACACTGAGTGCTCTTGGGTGAATCCAACCGATTCCTGGAGACCTATTCGGGTTCAGTTTTTTTAATATTTCCATAACTACAGGGGGTCTAAACTCTATGTGATTTAGTCCCTCTATGATACGGGTGTCCGACAGAGGTGGGGTTTTACCTCCCAAATGACAGCTGTTTTGGAACTCATGAGCTAGTAGGTTTGCAACTTCGTAGTTGGGATAGAGAATCTCCAAACTAATGGGGTCCTGTAAACTTAGTGAACTGTTACTCTTCTGTTTTATCAACGAGTACAGTATCCCATGATTCCCTTCAGGGTTCTACAACGCTGTGTCTGGTGATTTATTCCGCCATTTCTGATCCTTACTGTACATTTGTTGTGGATGTCTTTATAATTTATCCAGTCAAGAGGGCTATTAGTGCACCTCCATAGATTCCAAGACGACCGTTTACGCCGTATTATTTTGCGCGCGCTTGACCTAAGCCAGGAGGAGTAGAACTTGTTACTTCTTCTTGGGATCAGAGGAGTGTTACATTCTATCGTCTGTAGAATTATATTCTTCAAGAGACCCCATCTAGCATCAAGATCCAGTGGGCCATAGCAATTTAAGCAAGCGGAACCTTCTAGATCTTGCCGAATCTTCTCGAAATCAGTTCTCTTGTGATTCCTAACTAGAGGCTGATCGAGAACGGGTGGCTTAGATACAGAAATATTGAAGGAGATAACTGCATGGTCACTTAGGCCAAGAAGGCTGAAAAAATTCAAGTTGCTTACCCCAATGAACTGATTTGTGAAAATATAATCTAGTCGGGATGCCTTACCGTCAGGCCCCAGGCGAGTACACTGGGAAACATGTTCTGTCAAGGGGTTTTCCAGTAACAATTCCCGAAAGTCTTTTAGAGCGGTAGATGGACTTTCTGTGGCAAAGAGTTAAGGAAAGTTAAAATCTCCCATAATGAGGACCTGCGGGAAGTTCGGTTCCAGCGCTCCTCTGATGGACTGCACTGACATTTTATTTAGCGTGGCATCAGCTGCAGGAAGGCGGTATAAAACCCCGACTAAACATGGACCTCCGCAGCACTTCATGCCACGCCAGAGGACATCTTTAATGCCAATCCTGTGAGACTGAATCTCACGGACTTTTAAGGAAGGGTAGGCGTAAGGAGCAACACCACCTCCTGGTCAGTATGATATGCCCTAACAAAAGCGAAGTGGCTGGTTTCTAATCTTGTTTAGCTGTAAACTTGATTCTCCCGTTGTAAAGACTCATCTGTAAAATATTTGGCATCAGAAAAGCGGCACCAAATGTACCTTACTTTCCCCCTTAATAGTATCTGAAAATCTACTTTTCCCCTCTTTTTACGCCTTTCAGAAGTAGTATCCTCATCAATGTCTAATTTTCCCCCTTCATTTCCCTTTTATTTTTCATTCTTCCCCCTCATTCCTCTCTTTTTGCCAGGTGGGTAGGTGGACTTTTGTATCAGTAAATCTGGTGTCGGAATTCACCTTCTGAGAGACCAAGGCTTTTGAACATGGGAGGAGTGTGAAGCGCAGATCAAACGATTCCAAGAGGTGGACTGTTAAGTCAATGAAGTCATTAATGAATACCAAAGTAGCTAACGGTTTGTGCAAGATTGACGATTCTCGCGTTGACAGAGACCAAAACAATAATGTAGACTCAATGCAGAAATATCGATATGCTTCTTTCCATTTCTTTGTCAGTCGCCAAAAGAAGTCAGAAGGCAACAGGCAGCGAAAATCACAGTAAGTACTGTGTTAATAAGCATAACACGGTTGGAGTAAATTTTATTGACTGGTAACCCTGACGATGACCGGTCGGGTTGAGAATACTGAGGCCCAGAGAACCCTTTCCTCGGCATCACCAGTCCTACATAGGCGTCATGTACAAAACCAAAACTAACTGCCCTCTGTGAAACAGATACAGATGCTAGAGACCACGTTTGTATTGAGTCAGACTGCGTATATATGATGTGTGCAATGAATTCCTTAGATGCAAACAATGCTGCGCTCTCCCCTCATCAAGTTAATTCTATTTCAAATTGCTCCGCGGTCAATTTACCACTGGGATATTCCAGTGTAGCGTCGTACACTTCTCACTGCGAGTCCAGATAAGGAAACTCACCTTAAACATTTCGACCTTCTATTCGAAAGACTCAAAAAACAAGGCATCACAGTCAACTTGCAGAAGTGTTGAAGAGTTGAATCGCTCAGCTTCCTTGGGCATACCATCGACAAAAAGGTATACGCCCATTGAGAGATAAAGTGGCTGATATCATGAACTATCCAGAGCCGACCACTGCGAAGCAGCCCCGTACTTTCAATGGCCAGGTGAGTTATTACCGAAGGTTCATCCCCAACTGTGCCTTTATCATAAGACCACTCACAGGTCTCCGTCAAGGGACTACGAAATGCGTGACTCCGGACAACGTGGCTAGACTTGCTTTCTCTGAAGTCAAGGAAGCCATTTCAAACGCAACCATGCTTATGCATCATGACTCTAAACCTCCTCTGAGTATTGCTGCTGATATGCCTGACTCAGCAACTGGAGCAGCCTTGCAACGGTTGACTGACCAGCAGTGGCAACATTTAGCCTTTTTCGAGGCGGCTGGAGGAGGCGGAAACAAGATACAGTACATTTGGTAGGGAACTCCTAGTTATCTACTGTTCTGTACGCCATTCTCGATGTTCGGTGGAAGGTCGCGACTCTATTATTTTTACAGACCACGAACTGCCAACCTCCTCTCTTGGCTCAGCATTGACAAATACTCCCCCCGTGAGTCACAACAGCTGGATTACATTTCCCAGTTCACGTCAGATATCTGCCACATTTCTGGAGCACATGACTCCGTGGCCGACGCACTATCTCGAATAGCCTCGATAAACCGTACCGTAAGCGCTGATCCTGTTGAACTGGTTTGGTGTCCAGAAGACCTCGAGCTGCGTCATGAATTGTCGTCTAAAACTCTCAGTCTACGGCTGTGTCTGGTAGGGTCGCGTGAGGGTACAATTTTATGCTATGCCTCTGCTAGTCAACCACACCAAATAGTTCCATAGAGATTTCGATGCAGCGTCTTCAGTACGGGCTACCATCAGGCCTATCGTACGGGAAAGAATAAAGACGTCACGCGACATACATAAAGCCCTTAGACTCCTTTCTAGCCCCAAACATATGTTTCGACCACGTCCATACAGATATTGTAGGACCTCTACCAGAATCCAATGGATGTGCTTACCTTCTGACTTGCGTGGATCGTTTCGCACTATGGCCGGAAGCAATACCTATGAAGGATATCGCTGCTGAAACTGTCGCTCATGTTTTCGTAGAAAGATGGATCGCTAACTTTGGATGTCTCTTCTACGCAACAACCGGCCGTGGGCGCCAATTCCAGCTTGGGTTATTTCACGTTTTAACC